AAAGGCCTAGCAGATGTTTGACCATTTCACTGGCAGAAGGAAGTTAAATTATAAGATTCCAGTGTTGTAATTATTAAAGCGAACCTATAAAATGAGAGTAGTAATATTAATATAATAGCTGATACTTCTGGGTATTATTGTTTGTCATACTCTATGCTAAGAGCTAAGCATTTTATATATAGTAGCTCATTTAATCCTTGCAACAACCTATGATTTAGCTACTATTATTTATCTTCATTTTATAGCTGAAGATACCAGTGGTTAAGAAATTAGCTAACTTACTTAGCAGCATACAGCTAATGCCAGAGCTGACTTTCAGATCTATATTTGTCAACCTCTAGCATCTAAACACTAATTACTTGTGTTTGTATGAAATACATATTATCTAAACACTAACTCATTGTATTTATGTGAAATATATGCTTCTACTCCCATTTTTAAAAAAGGGATTTGATGGCAACATAAAATGGTAGGTATTAGAGTTGGTAGAGAATAAAGGTGATGCACTACAGGTGTGGGCGAAAGTAGGTGTATAGTTGTGAGTATGCAAAACAGTTTATTCTTGTGTTGTTTATTAATCATTGTATTATTTTCCATATGAATGACTGTAAACCTACTTTTGCCCACCCTTATATTTTCAAGTTTAGTATTTGACTTGCTGACTTAATAAAAGTATGGAGAAAGTACAGAATTACAGGTCTTGATGAGATGTGCTGCTGGTAGAAATTGGTTTTCTCTCTCGTTTGCTGCCTGGTGCCTTTTATGCCATGTTGCTTGCTAATTGGGGGTTACTTATCCTTTTTAGGAGTCAACAGCAAAATTACTTCTTTTGGCTTATTTTTGTTTTTTTCATTTTGAAGAATATTGTGAATAATTTGATTAATCTCATACTGAAGATTAGTGATATCACATAAAGAATCATAGATTGTATCCCTCCTGGCAAAAAAAAAAAAAAAAAAGTGTTACTGACTTCTGTATAGATAAGGAGTATTTTCTTTGAAAGCATTTAGTTGAGGAGGAGAAGGGGGCAGATGCTGTTCTTAAGTACACCAATTTTGAAATGAACCCAGATTACAGTTTTAATTTTACTATTGTGATGAATGTGTTTGACCACAAATGTTTAAAATCTAGGCTGTCATGTAAGCCACACTTGTCTTACTGGTATTGGAAGAATAGAAGTTAGTATAAGACTTGAAAAGACATTCCCATTTTGGGGTGAAATACAGAATGAACTTGGAGAAAGAAAAGCTTCTATTATTTATTTTCTTTCCAATATTTTAGCATCATGGTGCAGTCACCGGGAAAATCTTACAACTCTTCAGAACCTGTTATTTCAGCTCAAGACCAGGAGATGCAGGTATGACTTCTGTAAAACAGCAGGTAGTTTTTGAGAGGATAGTTAGGATTCTATGCATGCTTGAAATTCTGTTGTCCGTATTTTAAAAATTGTTCTTTAGTCAAGAGTCTGAGACAGAGTTCGGTTTATTTTTCATCCTAAGGGAAATGTAATAGCTGAAGCTCTAAAAATGAAGGACTGGGTTCTTCTAAAAACCATTTAAAAAAATACTGAGTTGTTTCTTTGTTCTCTGTTCAGACTATATTATATGGCAAATTGCTAGAAGCTAGGCAGAAACATGCTAATAAATTGGATATTCCTCCAGCTATTCTGGCAACAAATAAGATACTGGTGGATATGGCCAAAATGAGGTAAACTATTTGTTTATGTTCTAACCTAATTTTCTTTTAATGTAGTAGATTTGTAAAACCTATCTTAAGTGATCATGACTATGGCTCCAGCTGTCACATCTGTTGGTGACTTCCAAATCTTCTGTGCTGCTACCAGTAAGCTCTTCACTGAGCTTTAGTCCCATGTTTCTGCATGAATAAAAGCCGCATGTCTTCAGCAATCAGACCCAGTACACAGACAGTCTGTCATAGTCCACCAACACTCCATACATGGATTTCATGCTAATACCAAAGCTCTTCTTTCTGAACTCCTTATTTTCATTAGTCATATCATGATGTTCCCAATCACTCATGGTTAAAACATCTGATGCTATTTTCACTCCTCTAACCTATATCCCCTTCTTATTCTTATTTAAATAGTTTTTAGACTTTTTCACTTAAATGTTTCTTGTGTGTCTGTCTCTGCCTTCCTCCCTCCCTTAATATTGCCATGTTTGTTCAGACCATTACCCTTAGACTGTTGCAAAAGCCTGTTAACTAGTCACTCTTTCCTCAGCCTCTCTCTAGTCACTCTTTCCTCAGCCTCTCTCTCTTTCATCTGATGCATGACTACCAAGTTAATTTTTTTCATGTGTACTTCTGCTTAACTAGTTTCCCATTGTTTGAACCTCTTTAGCTTACAATTCAAGGCCCTCCACTTTTGGACTTAAACCTACTTTTCCATCTGAATCACAGAATTTTAAATGGTTTACCATTTGTCAAAGATCCCTTTTCAACTTCCATATACTTATTTATAATAGTGCTTCTGCCTTGTAGTTTCTTTGATTCCCCAAAACTCCTTTTAGGAAATTCTTCAAAATCTGGCTTTATTATTATTTTCTCCAAAAAGCCTTCCATGTTTGTATTAGCAAAGTAGTTCCTCTCTCTGGAATTCATAAAGGACTTCTAAAATTAAATTTAAATTAAATTAAATTTAAATACAAATTTTAAAGATGCTTCTATGGTACTTATCACACAATGCTTTATTTTTTTGTTCTTAGTGACATACTTCTGTTATATTGTCTAGATTTCAAACTCTGAATAACAGTAATATATTCTTCATCTTTTTGTGTCTTTCAAAGAACCTAGCACAATGCCTACTAAATACTATGTGGTCAATACATATTCAGAAGAAGTTATTTCCAAAGAATAGTTGCTTGGTCATTTTGTTTGTCTTTTATGCCTCCTTTTAAAAAATTGTTGTTACAGAATAGCCATGGAGTTGTAAAGAATACCATAGGGAATATGGTATTAGGTGGTACTAGATTTATCAGAATGATCACTTTGTTGGTTATATAAATGTCTAATCACTATGTTGTACACCTGAAACTAGTATTATAATGTCTGTCAACTGTAATTGAAGATAAAATATTATTTAAAAAAGAGTTTATGTCACTAAATTTCATCCAAGAGATGTTTCATTAGTGCAGGATTTTCTAATATTACATAGTACTTATATCTTATAACAATTACTTCATTAAAAATAAATATTCTAAGACTACACTGTAATATTCAGTGAAGATATTTAATATCATTAGATTGGCATAGTTTAGAAAGAAGATGTTATACAGTCTCTTGGATATTGGATACAGTAAGAAATATTGAGTTAAAAGTCTAAAGTAGTTAGGTTTATTGTTACAGGTAAACATTTTATATAAATACTGCATGAGATTTTCTGAGTTGCTTAGCCGTCTCAGTGAGTGCCTCATAGTTTTTCTTTTCATGTCTATAAAAATAATAATAATGATAAGATCAGTAATAGAGTAAAACATTAGTCTATTTATGATAGTGGCCTGTTTACCAGTTAGTACTGTGTTTTTGTGGTGATGGTGATGGTGGTGCTTTTATTCATAAATTACTAAAACAGCTAAGTATCAACTATGTTGTTGGAGTGATAATGTTTCAGCGATTTATTGACTTAAATCTTTTAAAAATGACAGACCTACCACAGTTGAAAATGTGACAAAGATCGATGGTGTTTCTGAAGGCAAGGCTACTATGTTGCCCCCTCTGTTGGAAGTCATCAAACACTTCTGTCAGATGAATAGTGTTCAGGTAAAATGAAAGAATAAACATTTTTCACGATTTCAGAAACACCCTTCAAAGGCAGCATTTTCTCCCTTTATTTCCATTTCCCACCAGATACTTAGAAAGTGAATTCAGATTTTTTCTACAGTAAGTTAGTTAATAAGAACATGTTAGTTACCTAGTTTTTAAGATGATACTAAAGTAGTTATCCAGGCTATTCATGTCTTTCTATTTTGTTGGGAGGTTTTATTTTTAAATTTGAATAAGAACTGTATTTTAGGTTGATAAATTATTTTACTTTCTAATGTAAGATAGACATTAAAGCTGCAGAGTTGTCCTTGCTATCAGTTGTTAAGGGGCTCAGCCACTGCTTTTCTTACTGTTTGTTGTGTTCCCTAATTACTCTCCCCTGCCAGTCATGCTGTCTTTTGATATTAAGCAGGTTTCATGGCATTCTCTCCATCTTAATAGCGCTTTCTTCATGTCCTTTTATTTCTTCTTGCTCCACCATATATGACCATTTCCACAGAGTTGTGTGGGTTTTCTTCTTTAAACTCCACATGCAGACTCCAGCACCGGAGGTGACTGGATCCCATGTTAGAAATCTATCTCTAAGTAGAAAATTTCTGCTTTTTGTATGTAACATATTGCTCTTTTAATATAGATTATTTTAGGTAACTTAAATTTTTTTTTTATATGCTTATAGAAGACATCATATGAAAATTCCTTATATTTCACAGTAGATGTTTTTAACAATGTGATAAAGAATACCATGCCAGTGGTAATTGAATATGTTTTTTTCTCTTTGGACACTTGATGGTAGGATCTTTTTTCATGAATTAGTGGTTTTATTTTGTAATGAATGAATTATCCCCCAAGCCCTCTTCAGAAGAGTAAATTGAAGTAGGGCAAAAAAAATCAGTGCTTCAAACGACAGGTATGAAACTCTTTTAAACCTTCTAGATAGAGAAAATGACTGTTAATTTCTGGTGGTTAGGAATTATGCCTGCACTATTGTACAAATTGAAACCATTTACTAAAGAAATAAATTTAACAAACTTTAGTGTTTACTAAGTGAGCTTTGCTATTCACCACTTTCATTAAGCTCTTAATATATTTACTTAAAAACTCTGAAGCAAAACTTAAATACTGTCATAATACAAATAAAAAGTTATAAATATGAGGACTTGGGTATTAAACCCATTAGAATGGCCATTTAGGAAAAATAAGTTAAAATCACTTTGTAGAAATACATTTTATGAGAATTATGATGTTTTTAAAATGTCCAGCTACTTAAAAAATCCTAAAAAGACATAGATAACTATTTTTTTAACTATACATAAAAAGTAGATAGAAACCACATACTGTAGTCATCATGAAACCTGTAACAACTAATGTAAAAAGTTAAAGAGCCTAGTCCCTTGATGAATAATATTGGAATCATTTTGATAAGTTTATTTATCTTTGTGGTTCATTATATTACATATAAATACATGAGGAAGCATATGAGCTTTTATTTGGGAAAGAAATTTAATTTTGTATCTATATCCTATCATTTAGGAATTATAATTAAAAATTATATTAGTTGAATATTGGTTTACTGCTTGGTGAAAAATAGAAATGTTTCTGTTGACTTTTTCATCTATGTGGCATCATATATATGGTGCCTGATTTTAGAATTTGAATTATCTGACCCAAGGCAAAAAAAGTGTTTTCCAAACCTTTCTGGCATTTCTTCATAAATCTTATTTTTAGGCATTTCTCCCTTTTTTTTCTTTTAAATGTCTTAATGAATCATATTTAAGAATTTACATTATGCTTCAAGAGCCATAGTTTGTATGTATCTTAAACTATATGTATGTAGTTGTGACATTTTCCCTTAAGATACTTTAGCAGAATTTGTGGTTATAGTTCCTAAATTTGAATATTAATTATTTTTATTCATTCATTTAATATTCACTTCCAGGGGTTTTAGGGGGCTTAATATTTAGAGGCAGAATGGTCTACATTATAGTTCATTTTTTATTCCCTCTTATTGGCTAAAGGGAATTTCTAGTTCTACAACCATGTTTATTGTTACAAATATTTTATTAAAAACTATTCCCTCTAGCCTTATTTTGCCTTTTAAAATTAATATGTAAAAAAACAACAAACCCAAAACCTTTTTGGAGCTCCTCATAAAAAGGAAGTTTTTGTTCCTTAGAGATTTTATTTGTATTATTTTTTTCCCAATGCCTACTGATTATATTGATATTTCTGTCATCATATTGATATTATTAGTCATCATTTGTGCTACATTTAAAATTTTGTAGACGGACCTCTTTTCAAGTACAAAACCTCAAGAAGAACATGAGAAAAGTGTGGTGGCGAAAGACAAAGAAGCCTCACTTCCTCTGTCCACAGCCATCACATATTCTTTATTCCAGGAAAAGAAGATGTCTTTGGTAAGTGTTACACTCACATTCGAGGGAATTTTAAAATTTATCTAAGCACATGTTTTATCAGCTTTTCCATATCCAAAGTTGTTACTTGGGATAAATTTCTTCTAATCCTACAGTATTTTATATTGTTTCATTTTATACTTAATTTTGGAACAGAATGTCATTCTCTTTTCCTGCTCAGCCTACCTCTCAGTTAAGTAAAAACAGCAAGTATAGTTTGACCATGATTATCTTGTAGAGGTTACATCAGAGGGACTGATAAACACATTTATAGCTCAGGCATATTAGAGAAGCCATATTTTAAGACCATTTAAAAACACCAGATTAACAGTTAAAAAAACCATTAGTATATGTATTGATAAGAAATAATCTCCAAGATACATTAAGTAAAAAAAAAAAAGATGTAGAGTAGTGTGAAAAACAAATAACATAAATGTGTTTGTGACACAGGCATGCTTGTGTGTTCACCAGACTTGCTTTTCACTCTATCTTCTAGTGCTGTTCTATTTTTTAACCATGCCTGATGCTCTTTGAAAAAAATCTAATTGCTGTGAAAAATAGCCACATTTAATGTTTCTTCACTGTTCTGGCATAAATCCTTAGGGCCTTTGAATATTTTTTTAATATATAAGGTGGGGCAAAAGTAGGCTTACAGTTGTGAGTACATGAAACACAGAGTTTATATTATATATTAATTATTGTATTATTTTCCATTTCAACAACTGTAAATCTCCTTTTGCCCCACCCTGTACAAACTAGAGAGTCTTAGTGGAATAAGGACAGATTGAGGCTTCCAGTGAAATTTAACTAACTTGAATTCCTATCCTCTCTGACAATAAATTGATTTAGAGCAAGCCAAATGGGCCAGTGCCTGGTTTTCTAGTCTGGGTCTTCATCCACTAGGCTGCATTACACACTTTTTATACTGGTTAAGGTCAAATATAAATAAGAATAAATAGTTCATAGCTTTTCTTAATTACTTAATAGATGTTCTAATTAGTCAAATTCCTTAATTAAAAGTACAGAATCCATTACACAGGAAACCAAATAATTCCAGTGTACCATATTTGAAACAAATTACATGATAAATAGGAATTTAAGTTCCGCCTCTTAAATAGTAACTTAAGTGTACATGTTAAGTGTGCTTGTATATGCACAATTTGCCCCTACATGTATGGTATAACTGAATATAGTTTCTAAGAAAATTTGGGATAGCCTTCAAATTTTCTGAATAAAGTGCATGCTAATACTGAGCCACAATATGAGGTTTTATGTATTATATTACATACTCATGATTAAAAATGTCAAGAGAATCATATCTTCATTTATGTCTTTTGCAGTTATTTGGTTGTATATTATTGTGTAGTATTATGGTGTAATTATCTCTATTTCCCAGGAGTGAAAGACGGTCTTCTCAGTTAACCACAAAGTTAAACATGCCTAAGGACTAATTAATCAGAAGCAATAATACAATTAGTTTTAGGTAATTTGATGCCTGGTATCAAATAACTCTGATATTATGCACACATGGTGCACACTGTCGAGTAGAAAGGGTAGACATTTAATGAAAGTAATTTAAAACCTACCTTTGAAGGATGAAAATATTGCTTTAAAGGCTCTAGTTTATGGAAGTATCAACATTTACACAAATACAATCTAAATTCAGACTTTCAGGATGCATTAAAAGAGAGTATTATGAAATAATTTAGTGCTGAGTGACTAAACTCTTGGAGTGTTTGAAAGAATGTTATATCTAATACATATCTTAAATGGATTTGGAGCTACATTTGTTTAAAAGCCACAGAAATATGCAACATTGTCCTAAATTTAACAAAATTGATGTTTAATTCAATTCCAGGCACATGATTTATTTCAGGTATATAAATTATTGGATTAAAGGGTTATCTTCAAAGGTTGCGGCAGCTTTTAGACTGAACATAGAATGACTGCTTTCTGTCACTAATAGGTTTTCAAAGTGAATAATTACAAAGATGAGGATCGATGTCTTGGCTGATGCTGGGTGATCTTGTTGTATTTAATGTAATAATTGTAAAAAGTAGAATCTGTGGAGTTCTATAATGTAGGTCGTTTTAAAGAAATTGTTTATTAAAATCAAAATTATAAATGAAGGTTAAGTACATTGTTTCTCAGTGAACATTTATTACCTGAAGGTTTTGGACATGGTGTTTTCATACAGTGTAGTGGAGACTTTATAAAACTCACTGGTGGTTTTGCTGCTGTTTCTCCAGGAGAGCGTAGCTGAGAACAGGATCCTGCCTCTCGCAGCAGTTGGCATACACTTATCCCAAGCGATGAAAGCTGGCTACCCAGTCGATATGGAGCGAGCAGGCCTGACTCCAGAGGTTCAGAAGATTATTACTGATGTTATCCGAAACCCTCCCATCAACTCAGGTGATAACCGCCACCCTAGTCTGCAGCCTTAATGACTTGAGCCATTGAACCCGGATGAAGTAAACAAGCAACCCGCCAGTAGTTTTCATGTTAACATCAACCCTTTATGCTACTGTGAAAACTGTACTTTTGTAAGGATTTTTATTGTTCTAGAAAAACAATCTTTCCTCCCATTATTACTCGGGAAAGTCTGAGTCTGAGAAATTTTTGTTTTTCTTTCCAGCATCAGATGGCGACTCACACGCCCGTTCAGAAACAGTGCGCTCGTGACCTTTACCAGTTTCTACCTCAGCACTTGGGGCAAAAGCCCAGTTTTTTCCTATAGTCATTCGCCAAAATGTACTGACTCCTAGTTTTTCCCCAAATCTTTCTGATTCTTTGTTTTCGGTTTCACTTAAGTAGCCTTTTTTTTTTTTTAAATCCTCCCTCGAGGATATTTTTTCCATTGCTTTTCAGAGAGTGTGAGGGGTGGGGAGAGAGAGAGAATCATCGACTGGTTGCCTCGCGCATGAGCCCTGACCAGGGCCGGGGGTCCAGTCCGCAGCTGAGGTACGTACGTGCCCTTGGCCGGAATTGAACCTGGGACCCTGCAGTCTGCAGTCGGACGCTCTAACCAGAGAGCCAGACTGCCAGGGCAGTAGCCTTTCTAATCATCACTGTGACCTTGAAGGGAGGGACCAAGTTCTCTAGGCCCTTATATAAGGGTTTCCTGTCTCACTTTGCTACAGAACCTCAACTGTGCTCACTTTGCTTACCCTGCATACATTTTTAAATGTGCCTATTTTTAAGTTATGGTCCATTTTTTTTTACAGAAGTAAAGATGAGGTGCACTAGACGATTTCCCCTCCTAAATGTATCAATATAAACTGGCATGTTAATAACTCAATAAATCTGATAAGTTTACTCAGATTGTTAGACAGAGCAGTGGTCATACCAAAAGGCTTATCTCCAAAGCTGCAATGCAGATTTTTTTATTATCTCAAATTCTTTCCCACTTGGGAATAACTATATGATTTCCTCCAAACATTTGGAAATGAGAGGAATAAGATCATTTTTTAAAAGCACAATCAATACCAAGTTGATCAGAACAAAGATATGCAAGTCGCCTTAAAAGGCAGTGTTAATTCTAGGCTTGAGCAGGACTTGACTGAAGGTCTAAGAAAGAACACCTCCATCCCTTCCTTTGATCCACTGTGGAAGCACAGGAAGAGGAGAGACACAGGCAAGTTTTGGCAGTAGTCATCTAAGTAAATTCCAGGGAACTAAAGTTTTTCCCTTTACTGTACCATGCTAAAGTTGTACTGCCAGCTGTTTAGAAGAAAGAAATATGCAATTTCTAATCCTGGTCAATGAGACTTCAAGTATATTAAGGGCCTATCAAAAAGTTATGTCAAATTTTATTCGATGAACCATCTTAACAACAAATTTTGTTTCTCTGTCACTTGGCATCGTTTGATCTTTCATGTAGATCTGCCTACAGGGAAAATATACACTAGCTGTGTTAATCTGCGTACTTATCTATGTGATAATTGTGAATTCATAATTGTAAATTAATAAATTGGCATTTTGTGAACTGGGTTAATTTGGATCTATTAAGGTTAAATTAGGTTTGTAATTCTGAAAGTGTGAGGGCCAGATTTTGGGCTGTGATAAAATATTCAAGGTAATTTAGCTGTGAAACATCTTATGAGCAAACTGAATAGCTCTCCTGGTCACATTTCAATCTTTCTAATTTTAGCAGCCATTTTACTAGAAATAAGACAGAGGAAGGAAAACAGTAGTCACTTTGTAGGGTTAGAATTGTGATTATATAATACCCCTCTCCAGTGTAAAGTGAAATAGTCAAAGGTTATTTTTTTCACACACACATACACACACATATGGTCTCTCAGAACTCAAGAGAAATGTGTGTCTGATAAGTTGTTGGATGGTAGGCAGTATTCTCTGGAAGGGGCAGTTTTTCCTATTGACAGTCATGTTTGCTATCATTTAGCTGCTTTCCTTAAACGCTGAAGACTGTTGGATGGTGTTAGCCTAGTCAGTAAGAGCAAAAACAGCTAATCTGTTTTGGCAAGAGCAAAAACAGCTACTCTGTTTTGGCTCTTCCATTTCAGAGCTTTGTTACCTTGGGCAAATTACCCACTCTCCCTAAGCCTCAGTTTCCTCCTTTCTAAAACGGGGAGGAGTAATATGTCTTTGTTACAGAATTGTGAGAAATAATTAGTTACTGCAGAGAGTGCTCTGGTGCTTGGTAAGTAGTTTGCCACCTGGATACACGGGTTTCCATCTGTGGATTCAACCAACTGCAGATTGAAAATATTGGAAAAAAAATTCTAGAAAGTTGATGCCTAAACAATACAGTATACTAACTATTTACATAGTATTTGCATTGCATTAGGCGTTACAAGTAATCTAGAGACGATTTAAAGTATATGGGAGGTTGTGTGTAGGTTATATGCAAATTCTGTGCCATTCTGTATAAGGGACTTGAGCGTGGGGTCCTGGAACCAATCCTCGGCCCATACCAGGAACAGCTAACTCTTTTATAAATGGTGGTGGTGGCAGTGATGGTGAACATGGTGATGACTGAAGAAGAAGATGGTAAGACATGATGGCTTCTTAAATATACCCTCTATGATTGCTTTAATACTCTATTCTTTTAGAAGCTAATTAAGAAAATATGAAGTTAGTAAATAAATACAGCAGAAGGGAAGTTTCAAAACTGTATATTTTACAAATAACTTCAATAATTCAGGCACATTATAATTATTTTTTTTTCAGGTATTGAATTCTTGGGCAAATATTCTTTAATGACATAAAATGGATGTTCCAATTTCACTTCATTATGGGCCAAGTATCGACAACATCTAGTTTATTTGGTAATGGAGAAGATTCGAGGGGCTGCAAATTTGCTTTCTAAATCACATAGTTATAAAGTTATAGAATTTTTGATTTGGAAAGGAAATTGGAAATCATTATATTTTCATTTTCCTACTCCCACCCTGTTTCAGAGAGAGCAATCTGAACCCTAGAGAGTTGCAAATTGTTTCAAATCCATGTCAAGGGTAATGACAGAGCAAGTTTTCCTTTTTACTATACCATGTCAAAGTTGTACTGCCGACTATTGAAAGGAAAGAAATATGCAGCTTCTAATCCTGATGGAGCATTGGGGTTTATAAACCTCTAATTGATGAGTAAAATAAATGTACCTAATTATATTCAATTTACTGTCCTTATATATCTAGTATCTTTAAATATTTTCTACTATATGTAGTATCTTCTACATTCTGAATTTAGAAATTTTAGTTTCTTATGTTACAACTTTTTAAATTGAGAAATATTAAAATCAGGCAGAATATATAAACATGAAAAATTCTCTACTTATAATTGCACAGCCTGGTTCAACAAATATCAGGGAGATGAGAAAAACACTTGTAATTATCAGTGACTAAAACATTAGTCTTTACTACTGTATACTTATTGCAAATAAATTTTCATTCAGAGATAAATATTAAATTGAAATTCCAAAGAACAATGTAGGATCCTTTTAAACACCTGTTTCATCTTTCTGTCAATATACTGTCTATAGGTTGTACATAAAATATGAAAAAGTATATTGTAGTTTACTGACAGAGCCAAAATTGAGGAAGTTATGATTGCAAAAACCATGAGCTCTAAATTTTACTTCTTTTGATTGTACATTTATAGCCTGTAAGACATTATTTGTTGATAAGGAATTTTACTTTTGAATTTGCTTTTTTCCTTGATAAGAACTATTTGTTCTTTCATTGCAGAAATGTGTTATAAATTATATTAAGAAATGAGGATATATATAGTATACTAATGATTCAGAGATGTTATTTTTATCTTTACCTGTAGTTATGTTTTCTAACTCAGTGTTTTAATGAACAAGTTTGATTGGCACTTAAATTTCACACAATCCTGAATTGAGAGTTTTCTATATTTTATTATGGCATAAACTTATACCTAAAAATAGAGTGTTTGGTAAATTATGTCTAATTTGCTAAGTAGATTTTGACCTTGTAAATTAATATTTAAAGGAATTCTGTACCTTTTTATTTTTATAGTTTATCATATTTATATAATTTTAAGCTTCTTTTATGGAGTTGAGATTCTAACAATGCTTAATAATGAAGTAAGCAAGACATTTAATGAGGTGCCTGGATATTATTTTGAATAATTTCATTCTCCCATTCTTTGTGTGCATGTGCCTGGAAAATTAGGGATGGCTTCCAAAGGACCTGCCACAAAAGTAGGGGTAATATGATCTCTTTTAAAGCAATGAAGGAGTACAGCCAGTTTTTATTATTTCACTATTCAGCACTTACCTGCATGGAAAGTTAGGGCAGAGTAATATGCATCTTTAAAGCTAGATGCCACTTATTTGCATATGTATATTATAGGGTGACTTTTATTTGCATATGTGTATTATAGGATGACTTTAAGGTAAAAATATAGAAAGTACTTATGTATAAATAAATATATGAATTTTCTAATTATATCTTGAAGTTATAATTATGGTATAACAACTGTATATTTATTAAATCACTAATAGTGGTTTAATACCAAAGGCAAATGTATATATGTCATAATTTTATGAAAAGAAGACATTCTAATTTTAGAAATAAATTGTTTCAAATGGAATAAAATATCTTATTGTTCTTTTCAAAATAATTAATTTAGTCAGTGATGCTATGGTAGGACAAGATTGTATGGCTGTATCCCAAAAAACTGGTTTCTAAATTTTACATTTACAATATGATGAAACTAGGATGTATAGTTAGTTCATCCAATATTTAAATATCCACAGAAAAAAAATGAATTTAGTACAATGTAGTGTATTCGTTGGCTAGAGTATGGGAAAATTTGAATGGTTTTTCTAGAGCAGCACTATCCAGAAAGGAATATAATGTGAACCACATATACAATTTTAAATTTTCTGCTATCTACATTTAAAAAGTAAAAGTAAACAGATGTGATGAATTTAATCATATAATTTAACCCAATGTATTAAAAATGCTGTCATTTCAACATTTAACGAACACAAAAATTGTTAATGAGACTTTTTTGTACTAAGGCTCTGAAATCAGGTATGTAGTTTATATTCACAGCGTTTCTCAATTCTGATGCTAAATTGATGAAGTGGTAAAAGTGGCAGAATTTCAGTGGCATTAGCGTGGTGTAATGACCAAGGGACAGATAAAATTTTAGTTTGGTTGATAGATATGATAATCACATTGCTGATTTTTTTACATTTAGAGGTAATCTTATCTCTTCAAGGTTTAGATTATCATCAGTTTTACATTTTAAAACTTTAAAGTTAGAAACAATATATGCCAAATAATTAGATAGCCCACTGTCCTAACATCTATTAGCTGTGTTATCTTCTCTTCCTCTTTATTTATTTATTTTAATCTGCAGTTTTATTTGGGAAGCCCTGGAGTAGCAAGATAAGAACTTTGGAAGGAAGGAGAATGTAAACCTGAAAACTAGTAATTTAAGTTTATATTACTATTAATTTATATTACTCTTTTCAGAATGTCATTTAAAAATACTTGGTTTCTTTTTTTTTTTTAATCTTCACCCAAGGCTATATTTTCATTGATTTGAGAGAGAGAGACATCAGAGTGAGAGAGAAACATGGATTGTTTGCCTCCCTAATGTAGCCTGACCAGGGATTGGACTGGAAACCCGAGTGTGTGCCCTGACTGGGAATCGAGCCCACAAACTTTTGGTGTACGGGATGATGCTCCAACCCACCGAGCCACCCAGCCAGGGCTAGAAATACTTGGTTTCTGATTGTCAATGTGAATTGGGTGTCAGAAATGCTGGATACCAGTTTTGTAAACCACATGAAGATGAGTGAATAGGTTCTAAACTGCTTAGTTTTACCATATTCTGGAGAATTGCAGATGAACGTGATGTTGGGAGGAAGTACTCGAAGCATGAAGAGTGCTTTGTGGGTCGTGGTTACACAATTTGTAAAGGTGAAGAGACTGACACAGTCCAAATCAACTCTGTTAAATTACAAAAATTAAAAATTCCTTGATTCTGAAAATAAGATATATCTCTGCCAGGAAACTCGTTTAGTTACTAATAGGCATTTACAGTAATTCAAGTGTTTTGTTATGCTACAGTATCCATCGAAAGGATCCTTTTATTGGCATCTTATTTATATAGGCATGATTAGCTTCTATTTTAAGAATAAATTATGTTCAAAAGATTAACTTATAATTGATATTTGGGATTTGAAGTGTACATAATTCTTTTAGAAACAATTTTGGGAATAGTGGCCTCGATTCTCAGTGTGAAATATAGTTTATGCAGTGTTGATGGCACTGACCTGATTTTGGATCTTGTAGTTAAAGGGTGTAGGTGGTACAGGAGCAAGAGACACATTTGAACCCATTTCCATTCTGTAGGACTAGCGGCATTTTAAAGAGGAACACCTTCGGCCACCTTCCTCCTTTTTTTCTCCAAAATATTTTACCATTTCTAGCTCATAGGTTTTCTCAAATGTTCTCTGTAATTTATTTTTAAATCTTATTTTTTCATCCTTTACAGAGTTGAATAAAATTAAACTCATTAGAATGTTTGTTCCTGAAAACATTAATACGTACCTTATCCATATGGCAATTGAGATCCTGGAAAAAGATTGTGACAACAGACTGTCATGCCAACCTTCATGTGATTCCAACAAAAAGAGATGTTTCCCCAACTCCGAAGCGAGCTGTTCAAGTTCTAAGAGAAGCAAGGGAGAAGTAGGCCCGGATACCAAGGTGTTAATTATATGTAGAATTTTCATAGAATGCCAGCTTGTTCAATTTGCATATTCTAACCCTTTGAATGCTATATTTTTTAAACTGTCATACATTCTGATGGAAGGTTACTTTTTGTGTGCTATATTTCTGATGCTTTTCATCACTCTGAGCTGAGAAAAGTGACTTTTTAAATGACAAAAGGTGAATATAGTCTTTTTAGCTTATTGTGTGGAATGTTAGTGTAATTTTTTTCTCTACCTCATGTTATATAGCCTGGAAATTATCTTTCTTTTATAGGTGTAATTAAGGATATGACAGTTCATGTGATTAGTGACAATAAGAACAGATTCCCTTATAAATGCCTCCCCGGCTGGTTAGTGTTTCATTCTCTCATTCATCATGCTCTGTTGCTGTTATAGGGTCTCAGGTACAGGATAATTGTAGCTCATAGTCCTGAGCATATCTCAGTGCACTTTTGCATAATCAGAGAAAGACCATGAGTTAATATTATTTTAGATGACTTGTTTTATTAAAACCAGTGCTTTGAAAATTATTTCTCTGTGTCTGGTGTGAGAAAAATGATATTCTTTGACAATGTGACTCTATTAAGTGATTGTATAAATTTGAAAATTTGGCCTTTAATATCTTCCAGATCTAAAATGACATAACTCCATGATAAGTGTTTGTGAAAACTACTAATTAACTAAAAAATTATTTTAGTTCCTAGTTGATAAACTCAGCATGGTTGTAGGCGTTTGCTAATATTTATATTGGAGAATTAGGAACTCCATTTCAGTTCTTTCTGATGTAATCTTTATAGGCTTTCCAACAGTTAAACTCCTTATAGTTTCAGTTTCCTGAGGATACCTTTCAACTTTCTTTTGTTGTAAATGTAGATGATGAGATGATGAATTTTTGTTCTATCTAGTTCTATCTGTCTTAGTGCTGGGATTCAGAGGAATTAAACTATACTGCTGCTCTCCCATCTTCCCAGAATCCTCTTCTCCTGTATCACTTTATTCCTTCTTATTTTTCTTGACTTCCTGAGAGAATTTCCTGCCCTGCCACTGAGTTTCAGTATAAATTAAAATATACAATATTATTTACAAACTATTTTAAGATACTCAGAAAAATGCTTTATGGGTAATATTATTGCAATCATTGTTAAAATTCAATACTTCAGAATAATAATTTTCTTTTTAAATTAAATTTATTGGGGTGACATTGGTTAATAAAGTTATATAGGTTTTAAGTGTACAATTCTATAATATATCATTTGTATATTGTATTGTATGTTCACCATCCCAAGTCACACCTCCTTCCATCACCATGTGTTTGACCCCTTTCCCCGGTGTTACATCCTTCCATCCCCATTTCCCTCAGAACCACCGTACTGCTATCTGTGTCTGTGAGGTTTTGTTTTTGTTTTTCTTGTTTGTTCATTTGCTGCTTTTAGTTTAAATCCCCCATATAAGTGAAATAATATGGTTCTTGACTTTTTCCATCTGACTTATTTCACTTAGTGTGATATTCTTAAGATCCATCCGTGACAGTATTTCAATAAGAATTTTCTTAAGCTTTGCTTTTTTAGGCATAGTGTTGTCCTAAGAAAATAGTACATGCTGTAACTATTTTGTGTGCCTTAAAAATATTAAAGATTGATGCAAAACATCTTGTGATTTTTCACTGAAGGTTAAGAGTCACAGAAATTCACTAACTTCTTGGAGTCAACCATCCAGTAATCCAGAAGTAGAAGATTTATTTACAGATTCTCACTTACAGGTAAAATTGATTTAGTAAAATAGTTTTTGTGACAAATACATTAGGCTTGAACACTAATCTGTTTATATATATCTTCGTGTTAGATGAAATTAAATACGAATATAACATACACTCTATTTGCTTACATATACATGTGCACATATAATCAGCAAATGAGTTAATGTTTTGTATCCTCAACTTAATGATGATAGTTTGTTATTAGAATTTAGAGTATCAAAAAGATGTAAATGTCACCTTAAAATGTTACTATGATTGCTGGGGATTTTAGTCTACTGATGGAGGAAGTCCTCTCGGACAGGCATTGTTCCTGTTCAGTGACCTAGACTTCATAATTAAAGTCTCCCCAGGTACTTATTGTTGAGACTCAAAAGACACTCAATATAAGTAAGCTTTCCTCCCCCTTTCTCAATGAAATAAGATCATTATTATAATTACAGGCAAAATGCTGAAGATCACATTCTATAGAAATGTTACAGAAGATAAAAGATGTTAAAGGATATTAGCTACCAGTTAAAGAATGTAATGAGTAAATCAGAATGTGTTTTGATATTTTGCATATAATCTCATTTAATTCTCCAAATAATCTAGTCATGTTATGTACTGTTATTTTCTGTGTGAAGAAATTGAGGCTTAAATAACATTCATAAGGTCATACACTTAGCAAGTGACTGACTCCATTAGAACTTAAACCTACTTCTGTCTGGTTTCAAAGTCCCTGCTTATTTCATGGTATTTGGCTGCAACAAGACTTAGGGTTTCTTCCTCTGCTCTTACCGTTTAGATTTCACACTATTTAGGTTTCGTTATAATCTTACCCCTAATGCACTCAGGGTCCAGCTCTAATTGTAAGCACCTGTAGCTGTCTGTGTCTGCAAGGGGTGTTGATATTGAGGTCTTTAGGGAAGAATACATATTTGGGGCCCAATTTTATGTCCATCCAGATGCCTTTTATCTGTGCTACTTTATATCCCTAATATTTATTATTTCTAAGGCAAACATTGTAGTAAATCTAATAATCTCCTCTCCTGGTCATCTCTTCCCTGTGAGGAGACAAATACTCTGGAGGAAAGGTGATATCTTAACCAGGTTTTTTTAGCTTTTGCTGAAGTATGAGTAGTCCTACGCTGGATTTCTTTAATCTAGATGGAACAGCGAACAGTCTTTACCTTTTTAACTTTTATTATTCATTTTATTTTTCATCCTCACCCAAAGCTATTACCTTTATTGATTTTTAGAGAGAAAGGGAGAGGGAGAGGGTAACATTGATGTGAGAGAGAAGCACTGATCAGTTGCCTCCTGCATGTGACCCACCTGGGGATCAAACCTGCCACCTGGGTATGTGCCCTGACCAGGAATTGAACCCACGACCTCCCAGTGTAGGGACAGCACTCAACCAACTGAGCCACACCTGCCAAGACACTTTCTACCTTTTTTTAATATAAGGTTTTAGAGTTTTCTGCCAAGGATCTTTTACTCCCCTCCATCCTTAAATATTTAAAAACCATTTTTAAACATAGAAAACATAATAAAATAGCAAGCAGTTAATGAAGAATATATAGATACAGTGTTCATTTTTGAAGTGGAATAAATTATACTTCTGTGCCTTAGGCTAACAGACATTAAAACTTAGATGAGGCCACCTTATCATAAAGCCCTTCATATAGTTCCAATAACTAAGCTAACTGTCGGGTTCCAAGGAGTACCAACAGTAGGGTGATTTCTCTGTCATGTTAGTTTGAAGACCAGATCCTCCAAGACAACACAAATTAATACCATTTTAGGCTTATGAAACACCTATTAAAACTTTTATTTTTTTCATGTGCAGATTATTTAGTATACAATCACTGCCTTTGGTTCTTAAAACATTTTTTTTCAGGGACTTTTAGGGTCCTGAGGCTTCATTTGGTGCACGGGCCCCTAAAATTGTGCAAAGTATTGTGCGTGGGTACATTTGTCTTTTTTTCTTGGAAGTGGATCTCCAGTTCTTAGCAGAGTCTCGAGTCTATGAAATGAAAAACAATTTTTAAAATTTATTCAGCAAATTTATTTGCATATCTGCTATGTCTCAATAACTCTGCAAGGTACTGATATGACTGAGCCACTCTTCTAGTCTGCCTACCATTGTAGATATAGAAGTTATATGCTTTTTCAGATGCCTGATATAACTCTATAACTGTGTGTGTGTGTGTGTGTGTGTGTGTGTGCGTACACACACACACACACACACACACACACACACACACACACACACACACACACACAGGCAGATATCTTCCTCAGAGCATTAAGTTCACCGTTTTGGTTATCTCAAAGCACATACACCATGGGACATAGACCTGAAATAAGTGAGTGTCTACACTGGAGTGTCTAAGAATACACAACAGGATGGCAAGTAAATTGCCTAAATTTTAGGCCCTAAAGCAGTGATACAGTGAATTTGTATCTCTTTTATTTATTTACTTTTTGATCCAGAAATAAATTTTATAGATCTCACTATTTTGTTTTATTTGGCAAGGGAAGGGTGGTAGTTGTATATTCAGTAATCTATGTTAGTTTTGTTTCTGACACCCATTTTCAACAGTACAAATATTTCCTTTTCTGTTTCTTCCCTATAGACTTCATCCGCAACCTCGAGGAGAAAATTGCCGGTTTGGTTTGCTGAAGGAAATGAGACCTTAGCTGATACCAGCAAGAAATCAATGGCCAAAACAAAACAGAAGGGTCTTTTTAGTTAAAATGGCAGCTGCCAGAAAAATTATGTTTGTCTTGCTGTACCATAAGAGAGGTGCTATATTTTATTTCTGAAAAGAGTGGGGAGTAATATTTGAGTTAAAAATTACTCTAATCACTAATCAGCTGGCATCTTAAAACAGCCTTGTGCAGTTCCCATAAAGCTGAGTCTTCTGAGGGAGTACGTTATAGAATGCTGACTCTTTAAGATTGCTTTAAGAAACTTGTATTGCCCTGTTTTCTAACCTCTATTTCAACAATATATTTGGAAAATGTACTGTGTGGTAATACGGTACAGATAACAGAGTGGTAGGTGAGCAGTGATGATGTGTATGTGATGTAAAACATTGCTATATTACCCAGATTCTGTCTTGTACATGAAGAAAACAGTGATTTTACACATTGTCTTTACTATCTTTAAACAATGCTTGTACACGTTGTTAAATGGTATTAGTGAACCAGAGCCGTGAAAATGAAACATTTTGGTTCCATGTAAATAGGAAAAAAGAAGACAACAAAGGAGACCATTTGCATTAGAAAATTGTATTTTCTACACTATTTCTATCATTTTTTAAATAATAAACTTTAAAAATGTTATTCATACTGACTTTTCTAACGAGATGGGCAGTGTTAATTTTTTTACATTATATAATGATTTTTATCAACATTTAGAAGATTTGCATAACTCAATGAACCAATATTTTCCAGATGATTAATACACGATCTTATAAAATGACGCATGGGTAAATGATCCATTTAGAGTTCACAATGGACCAAAGGATTTTAACACAGCAGAGTATGAAAAAATTCATTGGTATAGTTTCAGATTACACACTGGATGTAGTTTCAAAGAATAATGTCTTCAATTATCTGGAAATATTATTAAAATACTCCTCCCTTATTATTTTTATTGTTTGAGTTTTATACAGTTTAAAGCGTCTAGCAAGAAGCCATCAGTTTCTTTTAAAAAATTTTTACTAAATTTATTGGGGCGACACTGGTCAGTAACATTACATAGGTTTCAAATATACAATTCTATAATTCATCATCTGTACATTGCATTGCATTGTGTGTGATATAAAACTGAAAACAACAAATGAACAAGAAAGACTTCCTTTTGTTCCTTTGGCTCCTTTCCATGCTGGGAGTAACTAAAGGAACATTTTCTTCACTGGTTCAACACCACCCTCTACTGGTCGTTTTGGTAATTTCAGGTTATATGGTACACAGGGAAATGAGACCATTGGTTTCTGGTTTTGGTTTTAGGTATGTGGCTAATGCATCAGGATTTGAAGGGAGAGAGGTATTTACTCTGGGCCAGTTTCTGTGGACCACAGAGAAGCTGGAATCTGTTCGTTTATTTATAGAGCAGCAGGAATTTAAATCTAAGCCTGTTCTCTAGTTCCTAAGTGCTGGGCATAATAGGATTTACTTCTCTGTTGTCAACTGGGAATCTTCCTTTGAAAAAATTCCTTTGACCTGATTTGAGAACATTCTGTGGCTCCCTACAGTTCAGAAAGGAGCTTCTTAAACTTTTTTTTCTTTCCACCTACCCTACCCCCACAACATAGAGAACTCAATCCACAGTCTCATAGATGGCATGAGAGCAATGCTTGGTCTTCATTTAACAAATCTCGTGATTATATCTAGTGTCCAAACCTGCATTTGAAGCGTCTTGAAGGTAGAATTGAATTCCTGTAGAGAGCACCTTTGAAGCCTATGCTAAGTATCTTACTGCTTACCACCCTGGATGGGACCTACCTTCAGGCCGCCATCCCCACCTGTGATAACTGTAGTCCCAGGATAACCATGTGTTGTGCGCTGAGTTGTGCCCCCCTCCTCCTGCAAGTACATATGTTGAAGTCCTAACCCCCACTGCCTCAGAATCTGTTTTCTGATATAGGGCTTTTAAAGGGGAAATTAAAGTGGGCCCTAATTCAACATAACTGGTGTCCTAATTAGAAGAGGAGATTAGGACACATGCATGCAGAAGAAAGACCAGGAGAAGACACGGAGAAGACGGCCATCTACAAGCCAAGGAGAGAGGCCTCAGAAGACTCCAAACCTTCTGACACTTCAATCTTGGATTTCTGTCTTTCCAGAACTGTGAGAAATAAGTTTCTTTTGTTTACACCAAATTTCTGTGGTACTGTATGGCAGCTCCAGCAAACTAAAACACCTTGAGTCTCTCATTGTTTAAATTTATCCTGTATAGTGGGCCATTTAAACAGCCTTTCTCTGAGCAGTGTTTCCCATTCACACACATTCTGTGGGTTCCTGAGGTTTTATTTCTTCCCTATGTAGACCACATTCAGGAGATGCTGAACTCACTGGAAAGGGGGATGGAGGAGAATCAGGCCAAGAGTAAGCTCCTGATGTTTGCAAATGCCCTGCCTGCGTTTTTGAGGGCTCTTTAAAAACCTCAGCCTGGAACACGAGGCTGTTTGCAGCTCGGCACCAACTTTCCTTATACAAAATTTAAAAGCAAAGTTGCAAATACAGTGCGTGTTCATTAGAAAAAAAGATATGCAATTAGAAAAATAAATTCCTATAA